AGAAGCGAGAAAGAGCGGCGAATCTGGCGGCGGCGGAAGCGGATCGGGGAATGGAAGAAGAAGATGAAGAAGAAGAAGTGACTAGGGTTTTGAGGTGAGAAGAGAGAAGCCTCCGGAACATGGTTACCGAATCAGAAGATTGGAAATAGAGTTACTGTCCCTGCTTCTGACTCCTGCCACTCCGTTGAATCAACTTTACACGCTCTTTCTCTCTTTTCTCTTCGGCTATCTTTCGATTGGTGCAAGCTGGAACGCTGAAATCAAATCTTTTATTACTCTTCATTGTTATAATCTAAATTAATTAGTTTAACTGTTAATTAAAAAACCAATTCATTTTTATATTTTTTTAAATATTTGATATATTAAAAATCATTATAAATTAATGAAGAATGTTTTTAAATAAGATAAAATTAATTATATTTTCATCCCTCATTTTATATTTTTTCTTCTTATATTTGAATATGAAAAAAAGTACTATATTTTATTTTAATTTAGGTTTATTAAATTAAAATGGAAAAGAAGGAGAATTTAATTTATATATATTATAATAAATTGTAATCTTTTTAAGGAGTCAGCAGACTATTCTCCATGGTTGAAGGTTATTTATTTATTTTAATTCATTTGCTCTGCACAATACTGAAAACTTTTACCTTCGAAAGATCTAAATGTATTCAAAAGGTTAGAGTTGTTCCAATCCAATCAAATTCTCTGCTCATTTAAGAAATTTGAATCTATCATTATTTCAATCAGTCACTTGTAGAAAATTATCATTCGTATAATTTTCAAATAACTAGTGTTATATTATATAAATTAATAAAATTATTATATAGAACTTTTTGTGATTAGAATTCTTTGTGAGAAAATTATCACGTGATTAGATACACTATTTACTTAAAGAAAGATGTATAATGAGTTGAATTTTCATTTCATTCGAATTTTAATCTTTCAATTTTAGTATATGAAAAAAGTAAAAGAATTTTATTTTATTTTATCAAGGTATCTACTTATTAAAGTGGTACTTGTATGAATTTAATTTAATAACATTATTAGAGTGAATTTTTTTTACGTTATTAATTAAAAATATTTAAATTTAAGTATAAAAACTATTATCAAGAAGTCAATAATTCTAAAGTGTAATAATTCATCATAGTTTCTACACTAAGCAACATGATTACTAGTAGTGAAAAATAACTAATTTAAGATCATATAATTACAAATACTATAATAAGTATAATTTTGTATATATATAAGGATGAAATAACTACTCCAATATATACAATATACATATAGTAATTTTATGTATGGAAATATACAATTAAGTTGATGGTCAAACAACTATAACTATCTATATAAATCCACCACCAACAAGTAGTCATCAAAAACATCAAGCTCCAACACTACTGTATGGCATCTACTACAGCACTCCAACCTTATCCATGTTTGCTCTCATATCACGTATGATTATCATAGTACAAACCACATAAAAAAACATAAGGGTAAGCTATGACAAAACAAAGGAAACAGCATATATATATATATATATATATATATAGACACACACAACATAGGAACATCACATCATCATCTCATCTTTGATAACACAGCATCGAAGCATCATAACATACAACACAGATCAACATAATCCAACTTTGATTTAACATAACAACACATTTCATCACAGTTCAACACAACATATGAACAACGCAATCAACTTGATACATCATATGCTCAACACAATAACTATATACATCGTCACACATTTCAATCAAGAGATCTCTTACAACACAGGACGAGCAGTTTAAGTGGCATAATCCTATCAAATCAACAACATAGAGTGATCTTTTAGGGCTTGCTAGATCAACAACAAATTGGATATAAATTTACAACACAACAACTTAATTTCTTAGATGTTTCCACTTAAACAATGAAATGTAGTACTAACGTTAGGATAGAACAACTAGATATGAGCCTGCTACGACTTTAGCTAGCTTAACTAAGTCTCTTATGGGATTAACCCATCAACTATCCTCCAAATACTATAATCTTCCAATACTTGGTTAGGAACTAAGTTCTTGATATCGTACTTTACTCGATTGGTCATTTGCAATCAATATAACTTGACCTGGCCCTTATACTATGATCGCTTCATACACGTCTACCTCCACCTTGCCCACACACGATATCAACAAAGTCCTAGAGGAAAAACAACACAGTGTCCACTTCAATTGTCAACTTCCAAATAAGGGTTTTTCAACAAATTAGACTCTCGGAGCACCACAACACAATATCCAAGCAATGGGATATGCAACTTTCAAAAGTATCTCCTATAGTCCTAAGTGGTCATCATAGCTTAACAACACAACAATTTTTTACATATTCAACACAACAATGAAATCAACATACAACTCCACATATTACAACACAATCATCACTACTCATATACAACTTCTTACTCATCATACATCTCAACAACACATCATCGTTATTCATACAGAATCTCAACACAACTACACAACTTCACAACATACTATTTAACTCAACTTTTAACTAGCAACTCACAACATAATCACCAACATACAACTTAATCAAATCACTTATTGTGCAATGACAACCTTCACATAAAACAACGAATAGGAAGTTCTATTATTCCTATCATGCTCATCCTTATCTTATATGAAAGACAATAAGATTTTATACAACTTTCATGAAGAACTCAAGTTCTAATTCCATCATCTACTATGTTGAAAATTGTAAAAATCACAATAGTTTGCTTAAATGATGATAGCTTGACCTTTACTCACTAAAAAGATCATAATTGGAGACCTCCTTTATAGGTGATTCCAAAGCCATTGGAAAGCTAACATCCAAGGCTATAACTTTCATGAAGGCCTCAAAACCAAATTCGATCATCTACCCCCACTGTTGCAACACTCAACTCAGCGCTTTAGTGTTAGATTTCTATCAATTTAGTTTCTCCCCAAGGCTGTAACACTCAACTTGGCACTTAAGCACTGGATTTCTGTCAATTCAATTTCTTCATAGGGTTGCAACGCTTAACTCAAGGCTTCAACGCTAGATCTCTACCAACTCAATTTTCTCCACAACTATAACGCTCAATCACGACTGTAGCGCTAAGTGCAGAAATTTTCTGCATTTTCATGGTTTCCCCTTCATTCCTCACCTTCACTTCACCAATATTTCTCCTAAACAATATCTACCACTCATTATCTCTACTAGATTCATTCATGCAACCCAAAAATCACAAGAAATACAACATGCATGCTCCAAAACTCAAAGAAATCATCAAGAACACCAAAATTTTAGTTTCAACATGCAACTAACTTTGAATTCATCTCCACAACTACAAATTTTCAAAAATTCTATCGATTTTAAGTTCTCAATTCATTCAACAACTCAACATTTCAACAAAAACCAAGATTTTCAGCTTCCCTTATCTCATAATGAAGTGAAACTGAAGAAAAACTCTAAGATACTCTGAGGTAGAAGAAGATAAGAGAATGGAGAAGGAAATGGGCTCTAAGCTCCAACAATCCAAACTCCGTACCTACTCTATGAGATTCTCAGCTCCTAATTGGTTTGAGTCACCATCAGTTACAAAGTCTCCAAACATGAATCTTCAGTTAAAAGTCTACGAAAAAGAAGAAGAAAAAGAAGTGTGTAGATTCTAAGAATTCCTATCCCTTCTAAATCATATCTTACATAAATCACATAAAAAATATTTTTTGTGTGTGTATTATTAGTTTAAAAAGTTATAGTATCAATTAATTAAAAATTGTTTTTATATAAATTTAAAAGTGGTAATTATAAAATCTAAGACTAGTATATATAAAAATATTAAAATTCTCTAGAAAAGTTCAATTATAGAAGTTACCAAAAAGAAATCTTATGATTCTATTTTTAGACAAAGTTTATGATTATATCTTTAGTCAAGTTGCATTTAAATTAACCTTCGAGACAAATTGGGCGACTAGGGTATTGTTGACCTTTCATGTGATGTGAGGCTGAGAGGCTCCTAAACATGCGCCTCTTTTGTCATTCAGAACTAAGTCTATTCGCTAATTATCTGTTTTTTTTCATCCATCATTAACATTCTATTTAAATGCATATCCCAATATTTTAGTCCATTTATAATAAAGTACATATATAAACAAATACTATTCAATATATTGATTATATGTTATATTTAAGATAAATAATTTATATTGTGATATAATTATTTTAATTATCAATAACTTTTTAAAATAAAATTTATTTTGTTAATAATATGATTTACTAGAAATCTGATTGTTTCAAAACTTAAATATTATTATCCAAATTTAAAATTTTAAAACTTACATAATTGTATATAAATATCACATTTACTTTATTATGCGTAATTTTACTGCAATTTAAAATGCTATAATTTTCAAAATATTTTAAATTTGTATCGAGTTATTTTTTTCTACATTTTAAAATAAAGACAAAAACGTATCCCGCGTCACGGGGTAGGAAACTTGTTACATACTCGTCACACAAATGTCTTGATAATGCAAAAAAAAAAAAAAAAACTGTATAAAGTGCAACTCAGCCAATCAGCTGTTGCTTATATCTTTTAGCTCCACCCTGTTGCCCTTGCCTTTCACTCTCATCTAATTTCCTCCTCAACTTTTTCAGATCATCTTCACTAACCAGACCATTCAATTCTTTATTCAGTGCATATGCCTCCCCCATTTTCCTTCGGCACTCTTTACTCGCAGAATCATGAGAAACAACTGAAACACAAAGAATAAGCAGGTATAGTATGCAACCTCATATACAAAAACACGTTAAATTTTATCAGAAAAATCAAAAAATATGTTCTAAAATCTATTCAAGTTATCAGCTTTTGGTGATTAACATGCATATATTCAGAGTATAGATATCAGGTGCTGTGACAGATAAATCAAAGAAATACAAATTCCTAGCAATACTTATGCAAATCTTCCTATATATGAAAGGATAAAACTTACATGCAGTATCATTAGTGTACCAAGTATTGTTCTTTAATTAAAATTGGAATTTCATATAAGTAATATGTGTAATAAATGTTTCAGTTAAATGTGAACGCATATTATAAACTAAAGAAACCATTTCTGTGGATGCAAAACAGCAGGATGGATATATATGACTCACGGTTGAAAGCCAATGAAACTAACAGTTACTAGAACTGACCTGACATTGGGTAGTCTTTGCCAATTATGCAATTTGCTTTGTTCTGAATGCTTTTAGGAGCCGTCCAGGGTTCATAAATGTACTCTCTGGGCATATCTGCTTGAAGAAGTTCAGTTCTAAGTTCTAACATTTTATCAAAAAGAAAAGTGATAGAGGATATAACATGATGGAAATGAAAGAACTTATAACGTACCTTTTAAGACTGGGAGAAAATGCCTAATAAAGTCTCCATTAGGGTCGTACTTCTTACCAAATGTGGTTGGGGAATAAATACGATTATACTGATCATAATAAATAATGAATGAGATACAGGTCAGTGGAAAATTCAGGATTCAAACTCTGAAACAGAAGATTTAGTCACTTTCCACTGAAAATTCAGACTAGTTGTCTGGTACTAACACAGTATACTTCATACCTGATAAAAGAAAGATGAACAAGAAAGCCACATCCAGTTTCCATTATTAATTGCCCAATCTGAATCAATCAGCAGCCTCCCAAAGACATCTCGTCCTCTTTCCCAATGAACAAACTTTCGACAGCATAAACATAAATTAGTATAGAATAACGGAGTATGAATAATATGGCATGCTCAAAGTATCGAAGTCATTATACCAGATCACCTCGAGTTAGAAAACATGCAACAGAATGCCGTGCCAGATGATGCATCCAGCCCCATTTGCGTAGCTACAACATGAAATGATGGATTCAAATGCACTTCCCAAGTGAGAAGGCTGATAAGAAGTATCATGGCAGAATAGTTTTGAGGTATGCAAATTCAAAGTAATAAAATATTGCTCATTGCTTCATTTGGAAGAGGATGTCAAAACCCAAACCTGGATCATGATAGCATCAATCCAAGGAAAGCCTGTCCTACCCTCCCTCCAAGCCTCCAGCAATTTATCATCATCCTTCCAAGGAACCTATAATGTATTTTAAATAACATTTATAATAATTAAGTGGTGTCACATTTATTTTAACAAAGCAGTATTAATCTGACATCAGTATCATAATAATAGACCAAGGTTCAACATATCAACAACAATACAAGGATATAAGTGCATTCGAGATTATACAAAATGAATATTCTTGAAGCATAAACATAATGAGCTAACTTATAATATCTTTATGTTTAGATGCAGAAGTATTTCATGTCCTAATGTACAACTCTAGTCGGTAAATAGTGTTATATGAATGCATCCTAAGATAACATCTATTTCTTTCTAAATCTTTTATCTCTTCTTTGAATCAAACTGAATATCGGTAAATAATATACATCAGCAGACCATTATTCTAATCTTACTTGCTTGCATATCCTATTGCCTGTCATCCTATCAAAATTTGGAGTCCCAAAAGCTGCCGTGTAAAAGAACTCTCGCCACAACAACTGCACAAACCAACAAGGCAACAGCTTCAGTTACCTAAAAGTAGAGCTCTGAAAACAATACAGTATTAAACTTCAGGAGAAAGCAGGACCTGTCCTATAAGAGAAACAGGTGGAGATGCATGCTTTGGCATACTTTTATATACTTCCTGAATGCGCTGGTAGAAATATCTGGCAGAGAGACAACCAAACTGCCAAGGAAGTTAACAAAAGGCAAAAAAGCATTAAAGATCTCAAATTTCATTGTCGTATATAGTGCAGTCAAACAAAATGGACATATTAAACAATTCAGCTGTAACAGATTTTGACTTACTTTCAGGTAAGGTGATAAAACAGTTGTTGCTGGCTTCAGAAATGCAGACGGATTGCCCTTGGGTTTCTCAAAGTTTGCCACCCACTTCTAAAATCATAAAATAAAAAAAAATAGAAACTAAGCCACTTTACTAAAACAGAAGAAGGTATAACAGTATGTTACATAATATTTCAGCAAGAAACATCAATTTTATATGTGAATACTGATGAATTGGCATCCCAGCATGGTGCTTATAGTTGTTATTCTTGATGCTAGAATGTAAAAGTACCTTGTCTTTCATGCATTCATCCAACCTCTTCAATGCTTCAGACTCACCACCTTTGAAAGGAGAGAACTCATCCTGAATATAACTTCTCTCATTAGACGCTCACAAAGGGATATAATTTGAATTCTGAAATATAATACACGCACGCACCTGTTCAGCATCACCATATCCAAGATCTCTGAGTGTTGGAACTTCAGAAATATCACAGCTTCCAAGATGGCCAACTGGAGGAAGTGAAGAGTACACGGTTGAAATAGGAGATGGCGGTTCCCCAGCAAGCTTGACAAACGATTGATAACTAAGGGGCGGCTTCCCTCCATTCTTTTTTGGCATTGGCACAAGAACACAGACAAATTGATCACGAGTTAACATAATCAAAATAACAACAATAACAATGAATAACATTGGAATCCAACCGTACGTGAATTGTCGAAAGATAAGGAAGAAACTATTTCATTTGTAGGGATAGAAAATGATAAAATTTAATCGATAGTTAATTGACGGAACTTTTAAGTTTTATCCTCCAACAATATGAGGTTACTATTTTATGCATACCGCTACGTGACACTTGATAATTTTTTATTTTTAATTAGCAGAAAAGACTACAAAGACGAAAATGAGGATCAAACCAAAATTCTAATACATCCATCTCAATCTCCAACTACTAGGCCTCTTAGTGGTTTTTGACACTCTTAATGTACTAAGCTTAAATACTACATGTGTTTAATTGAATATGAAATAACCATCTAGGTAGCACTCACTAATATCTATAGTACCATGATGGCATATGTAAAATCTTAAGAAAAAAAATAGATCTCCAAAATGAATATTATTTATTTATTTACATTACGTGAAGGTTAAGAACAGATACAGTAACTTGAGATTTCAAAGGAATAAAAAAAAAAATACATGACTTACTTATTGTTGTAGAAACTAAAAACATATAAAGCCTCAATAAATTGAGATGATTTGTGGAAGGTTCAAACTGACCTTCTTTATAATATCGGTGGGGTTGAAGAGTGTGTGACTCACAGGAGAGAAAACCTCGATTCCAGCATCAAGTGCAAAGTTCTGTCAACACAAACCCACTTAACAACAAAGACTAGGCTTCTGAAACACCTGAAGTAAACAACATTACCTTAACCTTAACATCGAGAGCCTGATAATACGGTTCAGTGTCGTACTCAAAGCACAACTTCCCGACATTCCACTAAGCAGAGAGAAAACAACAACCTTAAATTTTGCAAACAACAGAAGGACACAACGGTCATATTACATGATATTGATATGATACCTCCTTCAAGCATCGAATGACAACTTCAGCAGGGTCACCCTTGAGAATCAAAAGTCGCGAGCCAAGGGTCTTGAGGTTCAGGTCAAGGTCCACCAGGCTCTCCAGCAAGAACTTGATGCGGTTAAGGCCCGCGAGCGAGGACCCGGGTGTGGAAGCGTTCGGGTCGGGTTCCATGTAATGCGGGTCGATCACGAAGACGGGGTAGAGATGAGAGGCTCCTCGGGAAGCGAATTCTAGAGCCGGGTTGTCGTGGATCCGAATACCCTTCCGGAACCACACGAGAGAACCCGACCCGGATCCCATGATGTTCGCACAAGGGGACAATCGCATAGGTGACGTTTTGAACCAAATTCTCTGCTTCGCGCCTTTCCATAGTAATAACATTTTAATACGAGGTGGTTCCCTCTAAGTTCTAACATGCGCTCGGGGTTTAACTGGTGCCACCAACGTAATTCGGAATTTGGTTTACGCCCACGGCGTAGCTTAGAACTTGCTGGGATTAGGGGAAATGTAACGGTCCCCATGCTGCCACGTTCTGTCTTTTACGCCACGAACTGTTGTAATTAATTCGATTATTTGTCTTTATTTTTTAATTAAATAATTTTAATTTATCGTGAATGTCAAAATTTATTTATATCTAATGGATACGTTATTTGTTTGTATGAAATTAAAGGGACTGTTTTAATTTTACAATGTTAGGAAAAAAAAAAAAAAAAAAGCTGTCGGAATTATTTAATTCATGAATTATATTTAACATATTTTATTGTGAGTTTCCTTTTTCAAATTGCCGTATGTTATGTTAAAAAAAATTAATTGCCTTCACGGACCTTTTTTTATCACCATTTAAATCAATGTTTTGGTATAATTTGATTATGATGTAATTCAATTATATAGAGAATAAAATGAGATAATTTTTGTTATTTGGTGAGGGAGAAAAATCAGAAAATGAAAGAAAAAATACTTTTTTCTTATTTTATCCTATAAAAATTAAAGTATAATAATAAAATATGTATAAAATAACAAATATATATGACCTTACTTTTAAAAGACTTGGATATATAAATTTTTGATAACCGGCCCGTTGGTTTATTTGTCGATGGAGCTTTAAGGGTCTGGACTCTGGAGGTGGAGGGAAGCCCAGCCCATTATTCTTAAATGAATAAAACTTGGACACAAATTTGGATTGGAACTGGCAGGCTCTTCAAAGCGGTTGCTATTCGCTTTTACTTTTCTTTTTGCACCAGAGAGAAATGCTAACAAGTAACGGGTAACAACATACACACTCTTTTCAACACACCGGTGGTGCTGCTGACTATAATAGAAACACCAAACGTAATAATTTTATATGTAATTTATTAATCTAAATTGTTTATTTTATTGAAGTTCCAAATAACTTTCATACAAGTTCAAGTTCTTGCTTTGTGAGCTATAAGCATTTTTAATTCCATTATAGATAAATAATTATTTTAGTTAATTTTATTAAATTTATAAAATAAAATTATGATGTACCAATTTCATTATTTTTATTTATATTTAATTTTTATGCGCACTAAAATTAATAAATAACAATAAGAGAATTCAAAATATGTAGAGAATAGAGAATAGAGAATAGAGATCGAAAAAGTGGAAAATTAAAGGAGAAGAAAGGTAAATAAAATACAGATCCAGACGACTAGCACATATGAAGAGAGAGTGTCCCAAATCATTCATCAGCTTAAGGTTGATAGTTGAAGAAATTAAAAAGAAATTGAACGATGAGCGATTGAGGGTAGAAAAGTCGACGGATTGGAAAGAGAGTTGCTATTTATCGTACCCTTGGGAAGCGAGTCTGGACGCAATTGCGGAGTGGTACATGATGTCGTGAAACGTCGACGTTTCCGTGGTCTTCTTCCGCAGCTCCTTTGCCTTCTCCTCCGTGAAGCACCCCGCTCCGAACCTCGATCTGGGCCGGCCCACTTCCGGATCCGGTTTACCGGTCGGCTTCCGCGGTGGGCCGGAGCCGATGTAGTCCGGATCTGCGGGCCATCCGAACAAAGGAGCCCACCAGTTGGAGGAAACGGGCTTCCTGCTGTTGGGGTCGGGTTTGGATGGAGAAGCCGCGGAGGCCCGGACCAGGGTGGGGCGGAAAAACGCGAGTGTGGTTGCCATTACAAACTGCGTGCTGCGATGCTTTGCTTGCTACTTGCTACAATAGAAAGAAACTCGTAGAGTCTTTACTCTTCAGGATGGGGGGAGTTATTGGGTGTGGCGAGGGTCCACGAGGAGAATAATTGTGGATAAGGGGATACACGTGGAGGCTGTCCATGTATGTGTTCACTGTTGCATTTACCTCATCTGTCTATTTTTTAGTTTCACTTTTTTGGGTATCACTTTTATTTTTGGCTATGCACTTTTCTAAGGATATGACGTTGACACTAGACAGCCATTGCAAAATTCAACCAAGTCATAAAAAATATCTACAGCTGCCAGGACCAGAGTTGTAAAATTTGAAGACTCATCAAACTGCTCTCAGTATTATGTTGTGGGTTAAAGGTTGAGTTAATTCATTATTAAAAATATCTTTATTTTTTTTTTTAAATATGCTTATATATTTTTATACTTATAAATGTTAATAAATTTGTTATATTTTAAAACAAGTCTCTAAAAAATTAGTATAAATTTTTATATCATGTGTTAAATAATTATCATTGATTCAATTTTCATTTTATTTAAAATTATCTTTATTTTTATATAATTTAAAATTAATAATATTGTTCCGGCCACGGGGTGCACTAGGGTTTTTCCTAGGTCAAGCCGCAAAGCCAGAGCATTCAAAAGTGTAATCTGCCCCCTCAACTCTAGGGTTTAGGGTTTTATGGTGCGTCGTTCATGGGCTACTTGGGCCCCGAGAATCAAGGGATTTCCTTAACCGTAAATATTTGGGCAATATTTTATCGTATAGGATGGGATTTTATTCTTGATATCGGAACAGCATTTACATGGGAGGGGTAAGTCGGATTTTGGCCGAGTACCCCCGGTTGAGCAAACAGGTCGGCTATTTACCGAATGAACTCAGCTGAGTCGGTTTACGACCGACTAGGCCCCCAACCGAGAGGTTAGGTCGGTAATATACCGAGCTCCCCACTGGAGGGAATGGTGCTGGACATGCCCGTAATCGGGTTTAGACCGAGTATCCTCTCTCTTAGGGGAAGGATTCGGATTAAAGCTGAGTAGTGGGTTGCGATCGCCATACGGCCAAAATGAAGGTCATGTCGGATTATTACCGAGACGGTACACTTGCCTTCCAGCCTCGAGCCTGTAAGGCAAAGAGGCTGAGAAGGTTTTTAACGAGGCACCACTTATTCAATTTTTAATAAATTGCATTTCAAGTTATTTGCATTCACTGTTTACCTCAAGTTGTTTGTATTCACGGTTTATAACATGTGTCATTTTCAAGGATTGGAAGAACTCGTGATTGATCGGTTGGATTCCGACTGGGCGAGTATAGAACTCGTGATTGATCGGATGAATGCCGACGGGGCGAGTATAAACAATTTGAAGAACTCGTGATTGATCGGTTGGATTCCGACTGGGCGAGTATGGAACTCGTGATTGATCGGATGAATGTCGGCGGGGCGAGTATAAAACAACTCGTTTGAAAAATTCGGAATCTCATATTGGATTCTGGCCGTTTACCTTGACGAATTCGGTTCTAAAGTCGGATCGCAACCGACTGCGCGCTTCTGAACAAGTGATTAGACCAATTATTATGAATTTTGTAATTCTGTTTAGCGACAGCAACATGTCAGTGCTTAATTGTAGGTTCAAATTACCACTGTGAGAGCTAAACAGCTGATTTGAAAACATGGATCAACCACCGACTGCAAGTCATTTGCTTCCGATTGGAATTCCATTTAAGATTTATATAATGATTGTTGTCAACATTTGTCCTAATCGGAATTCAGACGATTAGGTAGAGAAAGTCCACCATTTAACTTAGAAAATTTCCGGCAAATTGGTGGGAAAATCCATTTTTAAATTGGGAAATCTTACCGAGAAGATACTCGGTGTACGACCGACTAGCTACGATGGAAGCACGTCGCGTTTTAACTTTTGACCGTCTCCAGACTCGGCATTTAGACGAGTACATTCATTGGTTTCAACTTGGACGAATATCAGTCCCTCCTACTCGCCAGTTTGGCGAGTACATTCATTAGTTTCACTCAGGAAAATTATTAGTAACTCCTACCCGGGATTTGGACGGGTAGATCCGTGGACATCCAGATTTAACTTATTAAAATTCTGTCTCCACCCTAGTCGGTATTAAGACGACTAGGTAGTTTCAAAATTGATTCAAACTTAGATGATTTTTAGGAGTTGTCTACTCGGTATTTGGACGATTAAATTCGTTGATTTCCAATTTAACTTAGAAAACTTCCAGCAAATTGGTGGGAAAATCCATTTTTAAATTGGGAAATCTTACCCGACTCGGTAAATAGCCGACTAGATGACGCCCCGTCGGCATTCATCCGATCAATCACGAGTTCTATACTCGCCCAGTCGGAATCCAACCGATCAATCACGAGTTCTTCCAATCCTTGAAAATGACACATGTTATAAACCGTGAATACAAACAACTTGAGGTAAACAGTGAATGCAAATAACTTGAAATGCAATTTATTAAAAATTGAATAAGTGGTGCCTCGTTAAAAACCTTCTCAGCCTCTTTGCCTTACAGGCTCGAGGCTGGAAGGCAAGTGTACCGTCTCGGTAATAATCCGACATGACCTTCATTTTGGCCGTATGGCGATCGCAACCCACTACTCAGCTTTAATCCGAATCCTTCCCCTAAGAGAGAGGATACTCGGTCTAAACCCGATTACGGGCATGTCCAGCACCATTCCCTCCAGTGGGGAGCTCGGTATATTACCGACCTAACCTCTCGGTTGGGGGCCTAGTCGGTCGTAAACCGACTCAGCCGAGTTCATTCGGTAAATAGCCGACCTGTTTGCTCAACCGGGGGTACTCGGCCAAAATCCGACTTACCCCTCCCACGTAAATGCTGTTCCGATATCAAGAATAAAATCCCATCCTATACGATAAAATATTGCCCAAATATTTACGGTTAAGGAAATCCCTTGATCCTCGGGGCCCAAGTAGCCCATGAACGACGCACCATAAAACCCTAAACCCTAGAGTTGAGGGGGCAGATTACACTTTTGAATGCTCTGGCTTTGCGGCTTGACCTAGGAAAAACCCTAGTGCACCCCGTGGCCGGAACAAATATATTATAAAAGTTTTGTAAGTTGTTTATATTACAAATGAATGTGTAGGTATAGGTGATTAGTGTAGTACCTGATAAGACTTTTTATATTTGGATGAATAAGATTTGTTTCTCGATTCACTGGTTCAAATGTTTTTGAAATGAGATATTTTGTTGGACAAAGAATTTGAAGTTTAAAGTTTAAGTATTTCTAAAAAAAATTAAAATTGTATAATTTTAAAACCCGGTTGTATTTAGGATACTCATCGAATTTGATTTACTTAACGAATATGACACATAATTTATTTAATTCATTTAAAAAAGATTTCTTTGAGTTTAACCTAAATCAAATCAATTAAACCAATATTTACCGGTTTAGATATTGAATATACACATAATTTGAACTAAACATAAATCAAATTAATTAATTTATATAATTTTTTTATTTAGTTAACAATTAACATATATGTATTGATTTGATTATTTTAAAAATGTTTTTGTGTTATAATACATAGACACCTTTTCTCAAAGAAATCATCAAAAAATTATATTACAATATATTAAGTGTCCTTTTATTACAATGTAATATATTTGAAATTCTTAAATAAAATTAAAAAAAATTATATATAAATTTGTCAATTGTCAATTATATACTAAAAAATAAATATAAATATACCAACAACAAAAAATCTGTCAATTTTGTTAATATTTAAAAATCTAAGAAAAAAATTATTTTAAAAATTATAAATTTCATTGGATATTCGATAATTCAAACTAAACTAACTTGATCGACATTTCATTGGATACATTAGATTGGTTCAGATCAAATTAGGCAAAAAAAAAAAATCCAACTGCAATTAAATTATTACTTTGAATTAATACATAAATCAATTCAATTTAAAAGCATAAAGTTTCTCACTCTAACTTTTGTCTCTTCTTTGTCCAATCTATCTTCTCATTCTCTTTCCTCTCGATCTCTCCTTCTTTCTCTTTCTCTATTCTTTCTCATATATATCTATCTTTCATTTGCCAGCTCTCCTCTTTCTTTTCTCTCTCTTCTCCTATTTCCCTCTCTTCTCTTCTAACATTAACATGAAAATATCAATAATTTTTTAACTATTGAATATTCAAATTTTAAAAGTATTAAATATTTTCTAATGTTAAATTTTTAATTATTAAATATTTAAAAATAGATTAATATTTATTTTTATAATCTTTAATTTTAAAATATAATAATTATTTAAAATAAATTCTTCTAATAATGTAAATTAAATTATTCTATCCATACTAAAAATTTAAAATTTTAGAAATTTAAATTAATTTATCTAAATAAAATATTTAATAAATAAATAAAAATAAAAAAATTCAAATTCTAAAAAATTTAAATTTCTTACATTTCTAAAATTTCATATCCGAACACTAACATTATATATTTGACAAATCAGACTGGTAAAGCGTGAAACACTGAAACTTATCTTGAATACATTTAGATTCATCACTGTATTTGTTTCCACAACAGATGGGAAATTATCTTATTGATTTTTATCAAATTGGATTCACTCCATTTTGTGCTGCAATACATCGATGAATGTATCTGCAAGCATCGTATGAGGAATACAAAGAGAAGCACTATGAAATCTCATATGCTAATTGTATATAGTACAAAGCACAGTCTTCAGTTTTCAAATTGAGACGCACCAAACCATACAACGCAAAACACAACCTTGATTGATATCTTTTGCTTTTGTTCTAGTTGACAAACAACGATCACACCATAGATATAAACAATAACCACCAACCATGTGCCAACATGTTCATAAACTTTTCTCCTTGTTTCTAACCATCTGAGGATCCATTTTCACTCACTATTTCATCCGGATGGACCTTCAAACCCTTTGCATTCTAATTTCTAACAAATACAATAAAACATTTGCAAGAAAAAGCAATTGTGGTTGGTTACCTGGCCATGTCTTTCCTCATTAAAGCTAGTAGTTAACTTATCTAATATTTCACTATCACACACTTCCATTGATCTAAAACTTGGTGATTCCATCTGTTGAGGAAAATTCAGGAAACTCTTTTATATTCCAAATTGATGGCTGAAATAGAATAAATGATGGCATACCCTGAAAGAGAAAGAAAGTCTTGGAGTACCCACAGTTTCCTCATATTCAGCTCCATCCAGTTCCTTTAGATGGTGAGGATTGAACAGCTTGGGTAGGATGTACTGCCTCGCCAAGATTAGCACAAAGAAAGCAAGGGGAACAGGATTCCAGCTATTGGAATCCATGTTACTCCAAAACAATCCAAGAAATATACAATTTGGAAGAGTGTACCAACAAAGGAAGGCTATGTTTCCGATCGGTATTGACTCCACAAAGGGAGCATGATCCCCCTCCAACAACCTGCCAAATAAGTTGGAAATTAATGAAGTACAAATCTTAGATACAATAATAGATATCGCAGTGATGGTGTTGTTTTTCAATCAAAATTAAAATTTTATCTTTGTAAAACGCAGACATTTAATGGAATCACATATTACCTCATGAAACTCTAACTCTAATTAGAAAATAATACAACACCTATGATACTGCATGAAGTTTTATTCTTCAATTTGAAATTGATACAACTATAGTAACTTTGACTTATTTGTACCACCGACAAGTGTTATAAAGAGAAGTAGTATCCTTTCTCAGAATTGGTTTCCAAGAAGACTATCAATAGCCTTGTATGCAAAGGATCCCCATTCCCCATAGAACAGAAGTGGGATCATTTTGATGATTGGCATAGCAAAGACTCATGCTCTAACTAAGAGTGATTGCAGAAGATTGCTCACTCTTTGCTCATTTACTCTAACATGCAGATATGCATCAATGTGCTTCTCAGGGTCAAAGGTATCCTTGTAGTCTCCTTTGTCTTCTCCTTTTAAGACAACATCTTTCAAGTCCTTCAGTTCTTTTCCCACAAAAGTCTGCAATTCATATATTCAAATTTGACTATTTTTAATTGACTTTATTTGGGGGAAAAACAAATCGAAGCTTGTGTTTAACTAGAGGACTCACTGATGTACTGCTATCCATTTCTATAAACACTGCTTGCGACTTCCCATAGATTTCAAAGTTACTAGCTTTCTTTGTTATGCTTTCCTTGGCACTTTCAACCATCTTTCTTCGGAGCATCTGCAACTCAAAAATCGTCTTCTAAAAAACATCCCATTTGATCATGGTACCAAGTACTAACAACAAAATCTAGTATTCATTGACTCACCAAATTCTCGAGAACCGCAAGGCTCTTCGCGTGCATGGGAGATTGAGGTAGAATTTGAAGGGGGCAAGCCAAGCAATCCACATAGCGAAGAGGATCTGAACTCGTTAGCACAATCAACTTAAAATTTGGAACCACTAGTGAAGTTTCAAGTGACAACCATAACGTAATTAGAAAAATAGGAAAATATTAGTAAGTACAAAAAGATCTCTTCGTAAAGATGCACAAAGTTTGTATTTTCTACCAAATTGAATTTTACATATCTTTTAATTTATATTAAAAATTATTCTAAAAAAAGCATTGGTCCATACCACGATTGTACCACGACCAGTTAGGATGAACACTACGACTCAAGCATTGCACCATGACCAGTCAGAATAGAAATTCGTACATCTCGTACTTAATTTTATTCGTTCCAAATAGTATCGCTATTTGGAAAGTCTCCAAGCAAAATGGATTATAAAAATAAAAAATCAATAATATAAAGACATTGAAACAATGATACCTTTCGATGGTGAAAGCGATTGCCAGCAGTTATGCTAAAATGCGGTGCTTAAAAAAATAGTTTTAACGGGAGACTAACAGAATGATTTATCATTCAAATTATTCAATCCATTAATTTGTTGGTAATGTTATTAAGACCCGTTTTTGCCTTTGGTTTACACTTTCATGTTGTATTTTTACTTAATTACAAAATTATTATCTTCTTTTGTTTTCAGAGATTTAGCAATCACCGAAAATAACTTCTTTTTATTTATAATCAAACAGTTAAATTGATAAAAAGTGAGAAATTACTTTTGATAAAATTTCAAACAAATGAAAGGTTTCCGACTTAAACTCGTCTTAATAGTTTGCCACTTTACCCATCGAATTATGATTTATGAACACTAAAAGAACTCGCTCCTTACGTTGTTATTGCCGTTTTAAGAAGCTGGAACAGCAAGTATGAATTAATTAATTGCGTTCAGTGAACAGAAAAAAATACATGCTAAACTATATTCATTCTGAATCTGATTATGAATTTACAAAGGTAAAGGTATGTTGTCTCTCCACTTTCTTCAAGTGGGAAAAATAACAAGCAGATGAAACGGATCATTATATCGACAGCTTAAAAAGAGAGAAAAGACGAAGATACAGACCGGTTAAAAGCCCTAAAACTAGCACGTCAAAAACACCCCAGAGAAGAGATTAACTTTAGTCTCTTTCTCTTGAAGTAAAAATATTGCTAATAAAGAAACCAAAACAAAGATGGAAAAAGGAAAGATGGTGGCCCCTTACAATAGATAAGAACCCCATGTATAATCAGCTATAAAAGAAATGAACTTATTGGCTTTGCGAATCAGATGCAGACAGGAGTCTACTGATGAAGGGTGATATAGCTGCAAGTAATGCCTTCGGACACTCTTCATGGGGTAAATGGCCACATCCAGATATGGCAACCAATCTCTGCACAAAAGATGGTAAGAATAAACTTGATGAGGCAGAGTCATGCCATGATAAATGCTTGGGAAATTAAAATGGAGACTACGAAACTAAAGGAATGGAACTGGTTACAAGTATATAATAGCTACAGCCCTCATTTTCCACTTCCCATTTTCATCCTTAATACACATTTGAGTATTTACAAGTTTTGTGGAGAATTTATGACAAGATGGTGAAAGCGAACTTACAGAATTGACAAGTTTTGAGGCCATGGCTTGACAAGATTTCAAAGAGACAAGGGAATCTTCAGCACCTGCAATGACTAACACGGGAATGTCTCCCGTAGCTTGTAACAATGATTCTGCGTTTTTAGCTGAAAGGATGGTTTCAGATGACAGTTTACCAATCTCGTGAAGTGCCTCATCCCATCCTTCAACAGATAGTGGAGCCTAAGCACACATAACAGCAATCACACATCATATTAACACTAGTTGATAATTTTTTTATCCAGAAACGATGCTCAGTAACAGTTATAAAGGAACATAATGGGAAGAAAGATCACGAGATCAAGTTGGAGCCTAAATTGCAAAATCACGTGAAAAACTATATAAGCATAAAGTCTATAGAAAATTATATATTTATCCATCACGCCTTACTACATAAATAAAGTATAAACCAAATCTTGGGTGTTCATAGGCGCTATAAATTTGTGATAGCTCATTATGAGGCCTCTAGGTTAATTTATAGTTTATGCCAATTACCGTAATATTTTTTGCAGAGTTCCTTCGATACAATTTATTATTTCAAACTTCAATTCAAATATTGAAACCTACGAAACATTGATACTTCAATTTGATTCACATATCTCTATCCAATATTGATATTCCTATGTATTTTATCGATACATATCCATGAAGTAATTGAAGCCTTTAAAATAATTATGAAAATCCAATATATAGTTACATATGAGACATTGAAGCATCTATAATATAGAAACATAGAAGCATTGTTCCTAGACAAATTTAAGAAGCAATGAGATTGATAATATTTTTATTTGTAGACAATAGCGAGTGATTTAGGATGACAATAATTTATAATTTTTATTTTGTTTTAGTCATGTCCAAAAAGTATGTTCTTTATTTGGATTTCAAGACTTGCTATTATATATTTACTATGTTTAATGTATTTTTATATATTTCAAGACTTGCTATTATATATTTACTATGTTTAATGTATTTTTATATATATCTAGATATGTATATTACATGCATTTAGAATATTCAAAATAGATTGAAACTCATAAAAGACAGAGTAATTCTCATTCACGCCATGCAAATAAAGCTTAAGGAACAGATATACCTTATAGAGAGCCAAAACTTCTTGTGTCATTTTGGAAGAATCATACCAAGCACGCCGATTAACCACTTGGGAAATTTCTGTTCTTAGTAAAGGGCGAACCAAATGCTTCTTTCCAAGTGAGGTATGCAGCAGGATTCTTGCAAAGGATGGAACCACTTCCCTCGATAAGCTAGCATTTAGCAATACAACCCCTTTCACATTAACCTGAATGAACACAAAACAGATCAAACAGTGAAACAAAATGAATTGTGAATTCTGCACATCAATTATTGCAAATCAACAATGCATATGCCATGAGAAAAATAGAGTAGACCTACAAAACCACATTATGTTGTTGCTGGAATTTCCAAACACATTGTGATTTACATCTAAATAAAAGCAACGCATCATACTTTGGCCAATCAAACCCACTAAGTTACCTACTAATCAAATATCAAGCAAGAAGACATGCTCACATTGAAATAATTCATTGATGTTTGAATTCTTTGTGCGGCCATCAGGGCAAGCAACCCTCCATCATCATGACCAATTAGCACAACAGAAGAAAAACCAATCTCAGAACAGAATGATAAAAGCAGGTCAACCTGAAAAAAAAAAAAAAAAAAATTAATGATAGTTACATGGAATAAAAGTTATGGTGATGAAGATAAACTCCGAAGAAAAAAGTGCTACCCTATTTAATGTTTGTGTTACCTGTCTCCTCTCTATTTTTATTTTGTTTTCTACTTTACCAGGTACAGTAATCCACGATACCTAACTCACATTAGATTTCCTTTCTTAATCTTCTGATCACTAAATCATAATTAACAGCAATATGATTATCAGATATGTAACATTCCATTAGCGCTTGGCCATGGAAAAAAGAATTTGACTCTATATTGGAATGGATAGTGTTTTAATATAATAACCCCAGAAGCATGACTCGTCTTTAATACAAGAAGAAAATAACAAAATGTCTTCTAAAATAATTTGCGCTAATGATAAATATTATTCACCTGACTTTCTAGCTTATAAGGATTAGACAACTCTTTTTCCTCCCAGTCCTCCCTACGAGGCCTTGAACTTAATCCCCAACCAGGCCTATCAAATGCAGCAACTGTGCAATTACTCTGCCGAGCTAGAGATCCCATCACATGCCTCCAAGAGAAGACTCCTCCACCAAACCCATGTATTAACACAATGCCTAATTGGCCAATACTCTCTAAATCTTGCTCCGTAGATTGAAAATTCAATTTACTAGTTTCATCTTCTTCACAAATACCATCTAGGTGAAAAACAGGGATATCTTCAGAAATAATAGAGGTTGTAGGACCATCCAACAGAGGAACATGTAGAGATGAACCATGGAATTGATTGCTATAGCTCCTGTATAATGGTGGCTGGATATTTGGAGATGTACTTAGCAAATGCTTATTAGATTTACCCAACCCAGAACCCACTAATGAAGTGCTACAACTAGAATTTGACTCAATGCAGGATGTTGAAGATAATGTATGTGGCGGTGAACCAGGCAAGCTAAGCTTGTAATGGAGTGTAAGTCCTTGGCATGTAATGAATAAGCTGTCTGAGTTTGCAAGTAATCTGACGAGCAGCTCTTCATCACGAGCTGTCCCAAGAGGTCTCCTCCTCATCTCGCAGTCACTTTTGGGGGTTCTCCCAGCAGAAGGAGTTGGAGAGCGTGGGACCTTTGGATAGCCAGAGAAAACATTTTTGCAAGATAGGACCTGTTTGATTAAAACATAAAGAAATTAGTGTAGATTTTTGCATGTGCATCACCAAAGTGAAATAAAATTTAAAAGTCACCAATATGAATCCAGTTGATTTCAGAAACTTATTTTGGGACAAACCTTAAATGGTACCATAAATATTTTTAGTGTTATTTTCCAATCAAAATTGGATTTCACTTCGGGCTCAATAATGGTCAGCATCGGTGACAATTTTGATTGGAAAACAACAAAGAAATACTAAGTTTCTCCATTTCGTTGAAGCAGGTCCGTAGTACTACAAATTTGCATTTGTTTAATTCAAAAAGAAGTTAATCCAATAACTAACATAAAAAATAGCCTGAGAAATTAGAAAGCTATGTTGAACTTACAGCTTCAGGGTCAACTCGATGAAACAAGAGTTTTCTGCGTGCTCTGCAGCTGGTTCTATAAGCAACGACAGTATGGCCAAGGGCAAACACAACTGATGAAAGAAACAAGACAGGCATTCCCCATGGCTTCTTCAAATGGAGTCTCTGCTTCCTGAGGGAAACCGAAGCCTCCGCTTCAATATGGGAATTTACAGTGAAAACACAAGCTTTGACCGAGAGCACAACAATAGAAAGAAAGGAACACAGAGTCACAGTTCCAAGGTAAGGACCGTGTGAGAGAGCAGGACCATCACAAACGGAATAAACACCTGCAATCACCAGAGAAAAACAAACACAAGATGAGAACTACACTGCTCAACATGAAAAAATTATAATCCCTCTCTAAAGAACAATAGCCAAATTTTATTTATCCATAACGAAGTAAAAAAAAAAAAAAAAAAGTAACCCCGCAATTTCCAATAAACGTTTTGATTTGAATTAGAGCAACTAAACATAATATTATTATTAGTTATTCAAACCAATAAAAGTAAAAGTTGAATTAGAACAATATAATGATTTGAAGAAAAAAAATATTGTAATAAAGTGATATTATAAGTGAGAATGAAGCGTACAAAGAATGATAATGGATCTTATGACGGAAACGAGAGGAATATCCGTCAAGGAACTCTTGAAAGCGTAACGGCGAAAATGCTCCTTGATGCTGTAACACTTGACGCAAGTGAAGTTCGAGATCAAAACGCAGGGCACCAACACGTCGACCACCGCGACCAGCACCGGCAGCGACGTCACCGCCAGCGACGCCACCAGCGCCACCACGAAGAAAACCGTCCGAACGCACCTGCGAAGCTTCTCGAGGAAGCATTGCCCTCCCTTCGCCATCGCCGCCGGCGCCGACGAAGCACGGCAGCCGGTAACGACCTCTCCGCGGTTAGTTACGATCTTCCAAACAGATTCGTCAGTCAGTCAGTCAGTTAGTTAGTTAGAAAGAAACAAATGGAGAGATCTAGCGGGTGAGGCTCCCTATCCGACACCAACACGAGGTTCTCCGCCGGCGCCGGAGCCATTTCCGGCGGCGGGAAAATCGAGGAGAGGAAATTCACGGTCGGCGGAAAGATTTTGGCGCCGCAGCGGCGACGGCGGAGGAGAACGCCATGGACAAGGGAGGCCGTCGGCTAGGGTTCCGGTGGGAACAATGCCCTCTCCGATTATATTTCCTAACGTTTTGAATGCGCTCTCCTCCTCCTGCCTATCTTCTCCTTTTCTCTTCGGTATTTGTTTTTCTTCTGCCTTCTCTCTTCTGTTTTTCTCCGTCACTCTGTTTTTTTATTTATTTATTTTTTAATTATTTATGGTTTGTCTTTTCATTGTTTCGTACTTTCCTTGTTACTTAATTTAAATAAATGTAGTGATATAGAATATGGTATGTATGTATATGCTGAAATTAAATAATGGTAGTATAGACAACCAAGAAAATTAAATAACGGTAGTATCATATGCCATATGGTATTGATTTTGTGACGAAGAGCCACTCTTGGCAGTGTTGGCATATTGGTATTAATTAATTTGAATAATTAATGGAGCATACCTGGCTTGGCTACTATTTAGTGAATTCACCAAATTAACCTTAATATTACTTATGTATGCTTTTTGTCATCATATACATTCAATGCAATGCAATGGAAGAAAGAGTCCATGGCAATGCAAGAGATACGTTATGAAAAATTCAAGGGTGCTGGTGCTGGTGCTGGTGACCACGTCTTGCAGACTTTCGACTTTTTAAATTAAAACATGAGGATGTGGGATAATAAATATAATAAGAAAAAATTAAAATATAAATATTGTCTCATTCGTGAAAAGGTTAATGTTTTAAGATATATATAATGTAATTTTGGATTCAACAAGAATCCACCTATTAGAATATTAATTTTGTTAAATTCGTGCAATTCATGTAATATTTGTTAAACAATTTTTTATAAAATATATTGTTTTTCTAGCAATTCTAATTATTTCAGGCAAATAACCACATTCTTTTGTATTGAAAATGCATTTTATTTTTATTCAATGCCTATATGTATATTTTTATTTAGTTTTTTTTAAGTGTGTATAACTATAAAACGTTTAAGTGAAAAAAGTAAAAGTATCTCTATAGTTGATTTAACATAAATTAAGTATCTTCAGTTATTAGTATAGATTTGGTCGTAATGAATTTGGAACAATATATAAAGTTTTATCCTCAAATTTTGTTGTTATCATTATAATTTCTACTAAAAAAAATATATAAATATCTTGTAATATTAACTACAAATCAATAATAAATATAAATTTATTTTCTCACTATACACATTTATTTGATTAGCAAAAATTAGAATGATGATAACAGGACTCAAACATATTATATTGTGCATGCAATTCTAACGATGAGCTCACTAGACATGTTTATTTACTTTAAGAGACTCAAATTAGGTTTGTTATGAAATTCAGTATTTTAGAAAAAGGAAAAGAGTTTATTTTAAGAAAATTATTTTATAAAAATCGTAAGTGTGCAATGCTTCAACTATTTTTATATTCCATTTAATTAAAATCAAAATTTTCTATTAGTATTTTGACATATTAAAGCTAACATAAATTATCAAAATAGAACTCAGGTTTTAATTTTAGAACAACAGAAACATATACAATAAAACACTCAAGTCTTGTCCCTCTTTTTTTTAACAACCAAGAAGATAATGCAAATTACTGATAATTCAAGATACAGTTTTTCAATACTGTAGTAATATCAACCCCTTTAATAATTTAACTTTTTTCTGCTCTCATTTTTATTTCAAAACGATGAATTTGAAAAACAAAATGTTAGATATCATGATTTCGATAAAATATTACAAACTTTCAAATGTCTAAAACCAAGCATGCGGATAGAAAACCAAACAAAAAAATTTGAACACAAATATTGTTTTAACGACATTTTTAACACGCTAATTTATTTTCAGGAAGATTTAAAACAAATGTTTTCCGACGTCATTTCGTTATATAAGTTTTTTTTTTTTCTCTTAAAAAACATGTGATATCAAAAGTTTAAGCTTATGTTCGGTTTCATATCACTCTTAATACGACGTGGATCTACCTGATGCAATGAGTAGAAACTTATACATTAATTTAGTATTTTAGACGTTTGACAAACTTTTTGTTTTTGACAGACGTTACAAACGTTTTTCTTTAGCAGAGGATTTATAGACAAACATAAATGTGAAAGCAGATTCAAACATGCACTAAACCTATAAGTCTGATTAATCTCTTTTTGTACTGATCAGTCCATTGGAAAGTAAAATAATATATTAGATTAAATTAATATTTTTTATTCTTGAAAGTTATGTTAGTATTTGGAACTAAAGAAATTACAAGTGTATTACACTTCAATAGCATGGGTACTTGGCATAGTAATATTAGTTGGCATACTCTATTTTCTTTTTTGGTGGCATTAGTTGTTGGCTTGCTTTGACAATAAACAACAATTAATTAGGATGAAAATGTGGCATCTAGAAATCCATTATTGTCCTTTTATTCCCTTGTAAATATTTAAAAAAAAAATCCAATGAACCATGGAAATGCAAGATAGGGTATTGGTATGATGAAGCATAGATTATGCATATTTATTTGATGTAAGAGGGAGAAAGGAAGGGATTTAAATAGGGGCGGCGAGAGCGTAACGGTTATGGTTACTGGTTAGAGTGCAGAATGAATGAAGTTGGTGCAGCGGAATGAGTTAGTTTGTGATGCGGTCGGGACCAAAAATTCAAAGATAGGACCCCACCCTCCAGTTAAGTCAGGTCACTATCGCCACAGCCTGTTCCTCTGTTTTCTCACTGCCACCTGTCAGAATCATTTATTCATATTCTTCTTCTTTTCATTTTTTTAGCATCTTAAAAACAATCCTAAAAACTATTCTTTATTTAATAATAAAAAACTATTTCCTAAATAATTTATAAAAAAAATCATTATTTCCTCCGATATTCCACTTCTATTTTCTTTGAGACACTCAAAGTAATCTTTAATTTTTTAATTTAATTTAAAAATAAATGAAATGACATTTAAATGGGTTATTTCATTCTCATATCTCATTTCACATGTAAAATTAATTTATGCAAGACACAAAACTTGTTTTTACAAGACAAAAGTTTAAGATATTATTGAAGAAGAATGTTAGTTAACAACGTCAAAGTAATCATCATCTTTATTGACCAACCTCCAAACTTGGGGGTAGGTTATTTGTGTGGTTATGCTTTTTTTAGTCTTTGAAGTTGTTAACCAACTTTTGGGCTTAAACCCCAAATTTTCACTTTCTACATGTGAGGGATGGTTTTTTGTAAGTGTTTGTGGGTTTTTGGTTGTTCGTGAAACTTTCAACAGAGTCTTATTTCCGCAACAATATAAAAGATCATAATCACTAAGCTTTCACCTTCTTCTACCAAAGGAGTTTTGCAATTCATTAAGTATAGCAAAAACATTCATATTCGATTGACACATTCTTGTATGATATTTTTCAAAACGACCACCCATTTTACCAAATCACAAATTCAATATTCTAGTGTTTAATATCCTAAACATGTAGTTAGAACAAACAAAAAAATTAAGGATGATTGAGACAAAAAAAATCTAACTATAAGAAACTTTATGAAATCCAACAATAACCTTCTATTTTAACTAGAACACTCATGGCCAAAATATTTAAACATGACAAAGTGTTCGTTATTGATTGAAAAATACCAAAACCTTTCATTATGGTTCTTATTAGGTGATTAGAAGAGAGAACAACCAACTTGGAAAGAAAATAGGTGTCAACATGGCAATTAACTATTGACTGGTTAGGAGACTAATATAGTTGGTGACTGAGTATAATGAAATGACTAACTTGCATAATGTAAAACTGTGTTTGGTTTTGTTGATTAATTATACAATTTATGTGATTAATGATAAATTGTTGTAATTACTATTATTTTAAAGCTTGGAGGGTCAAGGGAACCTTGAAAGTCAAGCTAGCTGAGATAGTTTCCATTGGAGTTAAATTGATTTAGTTTAAGGAAGGGTATATAAGGTTCTTCTTAACATGTGAACCTCATAAGTTCATTCCTTAAGAAAAGTATAGAGAAGTTAGAGAGAGGGACTTTAAAACTAGAGGGTAACTTCTTCTTTCTCTAATTCCATAGGACCTCAAACCCTTCCCCTTGTAGCTGAGTAGAGTTGAGTAGTTGGTGATTTCAAGCTTGGAAGTTGAGAATTTGAGATTTGAGAGCCATGTGGAGAAGTTCAAGTTCTCCTTCCATCTTTTTCTCTTCTTCTCGTTTTCAAACGATCGATTTATGGTAATGGGAGTTTGTGATTGGTTATTATTGAGTTGTGTTGTTAAATAACTGCTAGAATTCGTTATTTGGTAGTTGTCCTTGATTGAATTTGGATGATGTGATGAGTTGTTTGAGTTGGTACCTTAAAGATGTCTTTGATGAGAATTTGGTGAATCTTATTTTTTATGGTTGCATGCTGCTTGTTGTGCAAATTTTGAGTTGTTTATGATGCATATATGCTGAATTTTGTGTTGCATGTTAGTGAGGTTGTTTGGCTTGCAAGTTTGAGCCAAATTGAAAATTCTACCAAGTGCATAAACCTTCAGTGTAGAAACCTTTATGGCGTCGGGCATGGCTCAATTTAAGAGCTTTTTACTTTCGTCACAATAGGCACGAGATTGGTAGTGTTGGGCATGGATCATGAGGAGCTTTCTAACTTAGTCATGTTTGGCATAAAATGATAAGAATTGAGTATGGTTACTCAAAGAGCTCTCTGACTTGGTGATATCGAGTCCCAAGATAAGTGGTGTTGAGCGTGATCAAGATAGAAGTCCTCTAGGTAGACAACGTCAAGGGCAAGTTTATTAGCTTTGGTGTGAGTCAGATAGAGATTATTTGCCTAAATGAGCTCGATCATAGGTTTATTTATGTCAAACATGATTGACTTAGAGGTTCTTTGTCTTATTCATGTCGAGTGTAGGTGGTTTGGCACTGGACGTGGACAAACCTGAGACTTTCTACCTCAATGACATCGGGTGCGAGAAAGACGGTATCAAGTGTGGTTTGTTGAAATAAAATTTGATATTCTAAGTCATCTAAATGTTGAAGTATGATGATTCATTTATATAAATGATGTTGTATGATTTTAGATCATTATGCATTGATCTAGGATGATGTATGATGATGCCAACTTTAATTATAAGTTGCTTATGAATGAGAGTCGATGAAATTGCAACTTTAATGTGTGTAACATA